GTTATTGGAGTTTCTGTACTCGGGCATCGTTGTCGCGATAGATGTACAAATCAGTTCCATTCAACATCCTCGAGGTCGACTAGTCCGGGCGTGATCACAGCCGTACCAAGTAAGTTCTGGCTTGATCTGAATGTCTGCACACTTATAACAATCACGAGGCGGCTACTTTGACCTTCATAACGATCTTCGAAGAAGCAGGAGTTTCCAATTTACCCGAATGGGTGACGCGTATTATTAAAAATGACATGGAAGAGGGTATGAACACTTCTGGCCTGTATATCGTCGTCAGTCATTTAAGCCAACACCCAGGGGACCTAGAGTCAAGGAGCATTGAAACAAAGTCACGAAAACCGCCCCCATCAGCTGCCATTTGAATTAAAAGTGATCTTGCCGGATGGCTAGAACTTTCCCGGCCTTGATGAGCGTCTTCTAATGCCTATAGACAAAGGGCGTCGCTATACTAGACGTCTAAATACCTACACCAAATACAGCATCACTCAGGAGAAGGAATGAGGGGGGAGGGAGGGTGGAATGCGACCGGCCAACATCCAGTACTCTACCTGGTCAAAATCACGTCTTATCAGCCTCCAAAGTCGCCGAGCTGCATCAAGATATTTGTGCTGTTGGGAACGCAGAAGAAAGAAGTTGCCCGCCAGAATACGCCTCTTCACTTCTGGACCGAGTCCGAGTTGACGGGAAGCAGCCATCAGGCCATCGGAGGTATCCATGTTGAGGTGAGCCAGCTGTTTTTTCAAATCCTCCGAGGGATCCGCACGAAGACCATAGCGCAGTCCATCGTATCTGTTAGTAAACAAGGCAGCTTTAGAAAGCACTTGAAACAAAATACTGCTATCAGGGTTGAAGGCCATGGAAACGACATAGTTGGATGTAAGTCACCAGTGTTCCCAAACCAGTAGGCTGCATGGAATTGCGGGAAATTCAAGGCGAATTTATGTCTAGAAGAAACATAAGACCGATAGCATTGCAGCACCCAGTTGCTCACTAGATTAGCAGTACCAATAGTACAGGCGCTTACCAAAGGCTGCTAAGCTACCTGCCGACTTCAGTTACGTTGGAGATATCGCCGCGCTATTTCCCATCTACGAAGAACACGGTAGTCAAATGAACAAAATATTCTTCGTGTGATAAGAGCAAGGAATGTCACTTGAAGAAGGCAGACAACTGCAAATTTAGCTAAAGTAACAAAGCAAAAGAGACGTCACCATGTACTGATGCTGTTGGCAACGCTTTGCTAATCTTTTCGGTCTAGGCAGGATCCCAAACGCCCAAGAGCCGACGTGCGTCACGTCCTCTAAGGTGTTTGATAACTTTGGAAGACGAATGCTTCAACTGCTATTGCCCGAGAACAGGTTTCGTAGTGGCTAGCAATAACGCAGCCTCCTGCTGATACCGTCTCTGCAAAACGGCCGAGGTGGCGTCGATTGACTCTTCGCTGCTGCCGTCCAAGAAGTGGACGTTATTTCATGGTCTGTATCCTCGAGTCTCATTGAGATATCAAAGCTGGTGGAGCGGCTAATCGCTACAGGAAAATGAACGAAGCCTAAAAGAGCAGCTGTCGGTCGTGATGCGTAGGAAAGCACTACGCCAAGTCATTGAGGCCTTCGAAATTGCATACAGCTGAATTGCTCTGCTCGCGCAATCACGAGTTTCCATAATTTTCGAGCAAAGACTGTTAGTGCGCGTGTAGTCCGCAGTTATTTCGTGCGCGTCACGTGTTTTCGTCACATACAGTGGAGTCTCGGGCGACGACGAGCCCCAAACTCCACTGAAAGAGACTTGGTCAATTGCACCCACCTGTTCGCTCTACTGCGGGGTAGCTTCGAGTGACGAGCAGCACCATCTACGAGAGAGCCACCAAAAGAAAATTTGTTTCAGTTAACGAGCTTCTGCTCATTTAACGAGTTGTCAGTGTGTGTGCTTATGTCCACCGTTAAGTCTTGCTCCCAGGGCATTGGTCCTCGGTCACCTGCAGCCATGCAGTGAAGTGATGCAGTTTGGTTGGCTACGTTTCGCAAGACGAGCGTTTCACGCGACGAGTTCGTTGCCGGAACGGATTAAACTCATTAGTCACCACTGCACCTATCTACTTCCCACATGGAAATAACTGAGGTGTTTCTGTCAATTATAATTCTGAAAGCGGTCGAAAAGTTCTAACCAGCGGGAGGTCGAAGCTGGTGATTCGCTGCGAGCTTTGTACCTTGCCTAGACTATGTAAAAAATGGAGAATGGCCCTAAGGAGTCGGGGAATTTATCGAGTCGGCGACTGCTGCTCATCTAGTGGTTTGCAATTCAACTAAGACCAAACAAAAGTGTGAACGAATTGCTATCGATCTATGACCACAAGAGGCGAAGACTAACCTCAGAGTACAATTGAAAGGCAAAAATTCAGTGAGTCTAAATGTTTCTTACAATATGACAACAGTCTTCTCTACCGCCTCTCTGTGAATGTACAATCGGCACAATCGCTCGGTCTCGAGAGGCATGCCCAAGGTGACTTGAATGGGTCACTAATCTCAAACTCCCACAACTTTGTTTGTAGTACAAATAGGCTGCTGGAGAACCCTATCAGCACTGCATATAACTGACTGCTTCATTCTCCATGTCAATGTACCGGCCTGACTATAAATGACAGAAAACAATTGTTTGCCAAAACGACTTTTAACTCCAAGAAGCAGATCAGAATAAAAAATGATAGACGACAGAGTCACCTATAGTTCACTCAAAACAGGTGGGCAAACAAGAGGAGCGTAAATAAAAGTTAGGTTTCACGTTAGCTGCATTCGTTTTTCCAACAGCTACACTCTGAGCCGGTACTAGCCTACAGAACAGTAAGTATACCTGGACATATTCGAGGCAACTTCCACCGCACAGAGGACTGAGTAGACAGCTGTCGCCACCGGCAGGTGTGGCAAACTAACAGCCCCAAC